GAAAGTGGAACGCAAAAAGTGCATTTTAAATTAAAGGGTTTATTTTTTCCCCCTATTTTATGGATGCATTTGCTGCAATTTAGAAAGTTTTGCTTAACCTATTCATTCTTTCTATCACTACAATTTAATAGAATGTCTCAGATTTATTTAGGCAACCCTGCCAAGTTACGTAGCCCCTCCTTTTGCAAAGCAAATGGTATTAAATTTTAAGAAAGCCAAAATACTGCAGTCTTTATTGAAGTGAAATGCCAACTTAAATAGTAAGGACTGCAGAATTTTCAGAAGATTTGAACTGTATGCAAAGTCTTCCCAAATTGTTATTTTATCTTTTGGATTTTGCGATATAGTAAACTGCAAATACCACGTTCAACTAATACTGCGAGTCAGCTTCAGACTATGGTCTCAGGAACGAAATGGTAGCCCCCAAACTCTCAACCCAACCAGAGGAAATTCACCCCAATCATTACTCATTTCTTACGTAACACAACAGCTCATTTAACATGTAAACACAAGGCATGATGGCTCTCATTTGAAGCTTCTATTGTTGGCAAGTAATACTTCACAGGTATCAGAAATACCTTAGTTAATGTCTCCATATTTCCCCCATTTCTAAGATGCTTTCTTTTCCTTACAGAAGCTTCAGCTATTTAACATCAAACCAAACAATTGCACAAAAACTACAGCACCAAGCTTTGCTAAATGAAACCGCCGGAGAGCACACGCAGGAGAAAAGAATTTGACCGTGGCTGTTGAGTGGGCTAGAAGTCAAATGAGTTTAAATAAAACTAATATTAACACATTCCTTAATTGAAATGATTAATTCTTAGCAGAAATAAATTAAGATCAGCATGATCTTACTGTAGGCTAGTTGGTGACCCAGCCAGACTTTTGTGCAGATTAGGGTTTTGACTGTGCCTGTTCCGACTGCGAACAGATGAAAACATTGTGTTGCAACCTGGGACTTTACATTTGTGGAGCTGGCGGAGATGCACAGTTTTGTAATGAGCCCTGAAAGTTCCTTTATTACTGTAAGTTTTTTGACATATATGACAAGTTATTGGCAAACTGGAAGGTAAATTTGTAAAGTTTTGATGAGCTTTCTCAATTAAAGTACAGTCTTGGTAGAGTTCATCATTGGGCATTAGGCCGGGTCCTTCACAGCTTTCATCACTATCATCCAAGGGCATGGTGCATATTTCACTTCCTCCATCAGAATCCCAAGAAGAATGAGCACTGCTCTCAGATTTAATGCTGGAAGTAGTGCTTAGATCCAGAACAGCTCCATCATTCAATGGATCGTATCCGTAACTCTCAGAACAGGGTTCTCTAATTTTGCTCATTGGAAAAACAAAGCTGCCTGTCCTGTTCATTCCTTTGAAGATTACAGAAGTATGTCCAACATGTTGTTTTAAAGAGACATCTTGACAAAACTCCTTAGCCATGTCTTTCAAGAGGTATGTTGCATTGAAATGGTTGTTGAATTCCAGTGTATCTTTAGTCAGAAGCTTATGATGAAGATTTAGGTTTGAACTATGTCTAGAAGAACAAAGACAAGCTTAGCAAGAAAGTGTTTCGCCTCACTTAACAGCTGTTCCATAATGATCATTAACAAAGAAAAAAAATCAATATTTAGTAGCATGCATGAACTGTATACTTCTAATTTGACCAACTGCCACACTAGGAGTGCACATGGATGATTTACACATGTGACTGGGTATCTGAACTTGCTTGCACTGGCACGTATCAGAAATAACTCTACAGAAATCAATGTTTCAGATTCTCTCCTGGATTGTGGATAGCTGTCTGCTCTACTAGATCTCGTGTTGGGCCTAAAAGAATTGGGGGACAGACTAAAAAACTGTATACTGAACTGAGATCAGAGAATGGACTGAGGGGAGGAAGAAACAAGATTCTTTCCCAGTGCACAAAGCAGGAAAGGAGTGACACCAGCATCTGCAAAAAATATTGATGATCTCAAGTACTGTAACTATGTGCCAGGATGCAGCTGTACACATCAGTACAGAGCTTTTCCTTGACAGGAATTTCCTTGACGAAAGGAATATTGCATTTTATGCAACTTGTAGTTTTTGAATAGGCATCTCTAGATTCAGTTTAAAACCACCAAAACATACAAAATCACTGCTCCTCATTGAAAACTATCAATCAGCTCACTGGGAACTTCCAGGCTCTGGCTAGTAGATTCAGTTTATTGCAAGACACGGAAAAACACTCATTCTTCCCCTTGCCATCATGGTTTAATCCAAACCATGAACTGTTCAAAAGGGCACAGAAATGTTTTGCGCTTGCAGTCACAGCACTCTACGTTAAAGTCTAGAAACTTCTGCAAAGTTGTTCCAAATAACTAGTTTTGCACAAAGCTTGTGAACTTTCCTGTGAGTTGGCTTTTTTTTTTTTTTTTTTAAATAAATTCTTACAAAAGCACCTATGTTAAAACTTAACTGAATATATTGGTGTGGGAAGGAATTTGTGGCATGTGAATGCAAATCTTACTGCTGGCCTTCTTTCCTGTGGCCCATATCACAATTACAGTGGAGAGGAATTCACATCTGGGAAGATGCAGGCAGCAGATCAGGGTATGAAGCCCTGCCAGCAGCGGATGAATCTGTGCATCTCAGATGCAGCGGCCAGTCCTCAGAGGCTGGCTCATCCTCTCTCTGGACTGCATCAGCTGGCTCCAGTACTCCTAGCAGATTACAGACAATCTAAGCCTTGTGTCACTCTGAACTACTATCCAGGCATGCTTCCTGCAGCCAAAAGCTGCTGTAACTGTTACAGGAGAGTTAGAAAGCTTACAACACTTAGTCACACTTTAACAGGTTTGTTATCTACCACTTGTCAATTCAGATACATAACTGATGGCCAACAATAAAGCTTCAGTTCTTGTTTCTCAGCCTATGTGCCTAACAGGCTGGAAAAAAAAAAATGCTTTACAAGAACACAATACTGCAGCTAACAGTAAATTGAATCAAGCTCATGATATAGCTTAGGAATTGGTATGTAATCTCACATAAAAGCACTACCAATGTGGATACACACCAGATAGTGTTAGTTCAGCTAGCACTGTGTAATGTTAAATTTTGTACTGACATAGAGTAATCTTGCTTTTCTTAGGGGCTTTTTCCCACAGTCTGTTCAAAATCCTTGAGTAAACCAAGGACAAGGGCAAGTGAAGATTTTCTGAATTGATCTCATTGCTTTTTCATTAAAGAACACTGTATACCCTTTCAGTACTTAAAGGGGGCCTATAGGAAGGATGAGGGCAATCTTTTTAGCATGGCCTGTTGTGACAGGACAAGGAATAATGGATTTAAACTAAAGAAGAACAGATTTAGACTAGACATAAGAAAGAAATTTTTTACAATGAGGGTGGTCAAACACTGGAACAGGTTGCCCAGAGAGGTAGTGGAGGCCCCATCCCTGGCAACATTCCAGGTCAGGTTGGACGGGGCTCTGAGCACCCTGATCTGGTTAAAGCTGTCCCTGCTCACTGCAGGGGGGTTGGGCTAGATGACCTCTAAGGGTCCCTTCCAACCCAAAGCATTCTATGATTCTATACCTTAAAATACACATGAAAGTACATATTAAACATGTAAGTCCACACATGCATCTACTGGAAATTTGCTGAAATCATACCCTTGTGGCTTTCCCTTTACGTTCTAAAGTATTCTTTCAACTATTGCAGTCTTTATACTATGAAATTTTCAAGGCTTTATTTAATACCTCATGGTCTAGTGGAAAGGAAATGTTTCTTTCAATGGATTTTCATTTCATGAATGTTCTGATACGTTATCGTACCTGTTATACGAGGATACACAGAAAATCTTTGCAGGCTCCATTCCTCAAACACTCATTTTAATTTCAAACTAGGCTCCACTGTGATGGTAAAATAAAGACAATTTTGTTTATAATTTTCTTACCTGTCTCGACTTCTACGAGAAGGGAAAGCAGCATTACAGCCCTCAACTGTGCAAATATGCATTTCTTTGAGATGTACATTTTTAAAATGCATTTTTACACTGTAAGGGTTTTTAAAAGTCTTCTTACAGATGTCACAATGAAAGCGGCTTTCTTCCTTCTGAATCCCTAGTGCATGTTGACTGACATGATCCATATCTTTACAGTCTTCAAAACAAGGAATGGCAGCACCCCTGTTTGACAAAGTGCTGAAAAACCCCCCGGTCAGCAAGTGGTGTTGCAATTCAGGGCAGTCATTTTTAGGAATCCTGCGCTTTGACTGCTCTTTAATATACATGGGGGGTTCAGTCATTGGTTTTATAACATCATTGTGGTGGTGTTTTGGATCTTCATATATAATCTCATGGGAAACTATTTTTAATGGTTGGTTTTCTTCTGGTTTAACCTCTTTCTCACAGTGATGCAATTCATTCTCAGAGATATCCTTGATGTATTTGTTATTTGGCGCAAAGACAGATTCAAAATACTTTGGGCCCTCTACCCCAGAGACAGATTTCCATGAATTACCTGAATGGGGGTGCTTTTCCACCCTGTCGGTCACCCGCTTCTCTAGCTTATGCTCACAGGTCTCAAGCTCTCCATCGCTTACCACTTGCAGACGTGTATCATCTTCAGAACTGGCAACATCACTACTTTCATTAGGTGTCTCAACAGCTTCTTTCTCTATCTTAATAGGCATACTCGACTTACGAGATTTCTTCTTGGGTAGCATGTCAAATGGCAATTCATTTGAAACAAGCTGCTCTGGTATTGAGGAAGAAACAAGAGGCAGAGAAGGAAGAGTACCTGGAGTATTAGCAAGCTCAGCTGGTGTGACTGGACTACGATAAAAAGGAAGAACAGGCTGTACTGTCTTCAGGTTTGGAAAGAGGACACCATTCTGTCCAATGCTAGGAAATCCAGCCTGACCCTTTGAATCTGTACAAGAGCTGGCATAGCTGGTAATAGTTCTATCCGGAGTTAAAATTGTAAATTCTGTCCTTTTACTATCTCCAGGTCCAGCAATGGTCAAACCATTTCTTAGATCTTTATCCCTGTTATTTCTATTCATTGGCATATGGAGTCTGGGGTTAGGATTTGCACTATGACGATTTCGACTACGCAAAGAGCTAAATACCATATTGCAGCCCTCAATTGTGCATTTGTGCTTTATCTTCAGATGAACAGCATTGTAATGTATTTTCAAAGTACCTTTGTCATAAAATGTCTTTTCACATGCAGTGCAGAAAACACGCCCTTTCCTTGGCCCAGCGCCATTTTTTTCAGCAGATTTCATTTTGTTTTCTGGAGATAGTGCTGTCATTTCAAGCTTTGCTGCTGTATTATGTGAACTGGAATCACTTAAAAGGGCATCATCTTCTGTTTTAGTGGTGACATCTGGACCATTTATGCTCCTCTCATTTTCAACTTGAAATGGTGCAGAACTAGAAGTTAAGAAGCTGCTTTCAGAAAACGGTATCTGAACATCGTGTTTGGTTTCATTGCTATGGTCTTGACCTTGCTCAATCAAATGTCTTTCTGGTGGTGAACCTATCAAAGGTGGAGGCACTGGACTGAAAAACTGAAACGGCAGCATGAAAGCCATGTTATTTACAATATTCTCAAAGGGATGAATGTTGGTGGGACTCATTTTGTCCAAGGAAGCAGAAAAATTAGGACTGTGTTGATTGCAGCTCTCAATGAATGCCCTAATATCCAAATTGGCAGTTGGTGGTGGTATTATAATGGATTGCCCTTCTTTCTCTTGAATTGCCATTAACTCTACAATGGACTTAGTCTCTCCAAAACGAAGAAACTGCTGCAAAGTAGCCAGTTCTTCTTCAGTGGTCATTATGCTCCAGTGATCCAGCACCTTCCCTGAAGCATCCTAAAGCCAAAAAATAGTTAAATGAGTCAGACGTTACTTAAGGCAAACAAAAAACCCTCCCCCCAAATCTCTATTTTTTTCAGGCACTAAAAATTCTTCTCTAGTGAAATGATAAATTCATTCCATTTAATGAGAGATTAATGCCAATTCTGTGATACTTTCTTCCAAATTTTACCACATTGGTGATATTATTTCTTTCTGAACTGACAGTAATACTTTCCAATAAACTATTTTTCCACAAAAATTAAGACACGTCATTTGAACAACAGTTAGTATCATGTAAGTACAGACAGCAGAGATGGAGCAATCAGACCAAGATTTAGCTCCTCATTTAAGTCAAGTATCCTTTCATTGCAAGTTTAATAATCTTCCAAGCAACTAAGATCAGAGAACAAATGAACCTGTATTGATCTATTGCCAGTGTTCACAGAGCACAGCTGTAATTACACTAGAGTGTTGGAGTTCTTTCAAACTCTAGCTATGCCTAACTTTTCCCAATAACTACAATAAATATTTTATCACAGAACATGTATTTGATGGCCTACTGAGATTCTTCACAGTGCATGTAAGAGTTTCTAAGATGATGAAGAACGTAACATTATAAATTTTTCATGTGGTAGAGGTTCAAGGTAATTGATTCCATATTTTTAATCCTAACACTAAAAAGCAAGATTATCAAGACCATTAAATATTGATTTGTGTCATAATGTAAGATCATAATGTTACTTTACATAAAAGGTAACTTCCACAGTAGCAAAGACTAACATCACTGTAAGCACACAGGGCCAAATTCATCCTTGATGTAGCTCCAGTAAGGTCAGTAGCACTACACCAGAGATGAATTTTGTCCCCGGTGTTTAAAATGATAGCAAGTTTATTTGTCAATGTGTTATTCTGCTGTATAAAAGTAAACTCACTGTTTAAATAATACTAGAGCAAATTCTGAAGCCTTTACTTTGATACGTTCCCAGTAACTTTTTTTTTTTTATCTTGGCTTAACTTTGTTGATAGATTTGAGCAAAGTAGGAAAATTTCAGTTAAGTCTGACTAAAAAGAGAGCAATGACCAAAAATCCACCCTTTCTTTTCTGGTGCTAAGCTTGTACAAGTCTATTACTGCCTTTCAGATGTTAACCACACTGTTAACGCATTGTGAACCACTGAGAAGATTAAGCTAGAAAACATTATGAAATACTACTTAGCTATCATATTAAAAAAGCCCCTCTAAATACCTGTAGCACATATCCACGTATATAATCCTGTAGTGTCCAATCCAGAGCATGGAGAATCTGTATCACCTCTTCCTGCTTCAGAACACTGAAAAGTCGATCTAGCAGAATTTTAAGGCGCACAGGAATGGCTTGGGTTCCATACAGCATGAGACTACTGATATCAAAGACAACATTGGATTGAACTATTTCTACCTGGCTTGATGGGTATAGGTTGGGAATCCGTAGTTTGCTCAGGGCTGAAAATAAAATCACAAAATGTAAATAAACTTGAGTCACAAGAGATAGATAAAATTGAATGTAACTACTATTGCGTGTGGGAGGGTGAGGGGTGACAGAAAAAGCATGCTGTAGTGAGAAGGATCCTAAAAGATTTTATATAGATTGTAAGAACAAATATTACCATGTGCTACCCATCCATGCCGGCACTGGTCACATTGTCGCTGATTTATTTTCCCAGGTTTGAAACACTGACAACTACAGTTCACGAGAGTGCATCGGATAGCCTGGAAATCAATAGAATGGATGATAGGTAATATATAAGCACCATCTAGAGTGTGCAGATTATACATACACAATATACCCATAAAATCCATATGAAGACAGAGTTAACATACCAGCACATACCTATCAATGTGCAATGTAAGTAATCCAGGCAAAACCCGAGTTATGCAAGACTACCTCTGCTTTAAAGAGAATCAGTCACCAGCTACAACACTGGAATATTATGGAAGCAAAATACTTAATGACATACGTAGCAACACCTCTGTGGATTTATTTAGGCAGAAGCACCTTTATAACAATAACAAAGTGTTCTTGTGCATTCACCTAAGCTATGATCTTCATGTAAGATCAATTTTTTCAGGAAGGTTTGAAAACAGAGACATACATATGAAAGTCCCACTCTCGAAGTTTTGCTGGAACGCCATGCTGCAATACAGGAAGTTCTAATGAGCAATGTGTTAGCTCTGTATAGATGCCATCCCTTACATTCAGCAGTATCCACATAGAATGTGTCCTGTCAAAGATACACGAGTTCACTAACGCTTCTCAGTAACAAAGCTCACTAAAAAGTACTCCAACTCCTCGAAGACTTTTTGTCTTACATTTTGTAAGGGACATGCTTGAAAGATAATAGGCAAAACAGAGCACGCAACAGATAGCAACCAGTTGCACAGTTCAATTTGTGCATACTTTACTCTCACCAAGGTCATCTATAATGCAAATCAAATTAGTATTCAGATACTGCTAATCAACACAGTAATACAAACTTGCTTCCTGGAATATATGCTTTCTTCTGTATGTGCCCATCTGCTGCAGAAGGCAGACAGACAACTTTGAGGTCCTAGTTAAAGCTCCATAGGGATTGCTACAGAGCAAAGCATTTGTAGGATTCTGTATTGCTTAGATCTGATACTGAGAACAGTTCCTGCATAAATGGCATATTTATTAAGGGAGGGAAAGTGAAGAAATTAATATGCAGAAAGTCTGCACTGGAATAAAGAAAAAAAAAAGTTAAGATTATGCAGTTGTAACATGTCTGCATTTTTCTGTTTTTAAAACAAAATGTTTTACATTTTAAAGTACAGAGAGGCAAATATGAAGTAAGACAAAGTTATGCCCACAACTGGCTGCTACTCCTGCTCCCAGGGTCTTAGGCAAAATGGGGACTTCCACTACTTATTAATACCCATAGAAAAGCAAGACAAGACTTGAAGAAAAAAGTAATGTCCTTTCAATGCAGGCATCCCCACATTGGCACTTTTCAGAAAACAGACAAAGCAGCAAAGTTTTGGACAATCAGGCTAAGAAAGATGGATGCAGGAAATGTTTAAAATGAAAAGGACAGAAGAGAAAGGTAATTTCACTGGGGTTTGCAATGGGCATTTCTTTAGGCTTGACGAATTTGACTGATTTTGGGCAGAAGAGGACACTACATACAACAGTCGACTACAAGCAAGCGTGTGCAGGATGCCTAGTGCTTTACATGGCTGGATTTGGACTGAGATTTTAAAAACTCAGTAACTGGCTTATCAAGGAGTTAGCTTACATGCACATCTCCAAACTGCAGTGACTTCATGCTGAGATTCATCTTTATTTGAAGGATCGGAACAAGTGGCAACAGGGCTATTGAAATCTCTGAATCACTTTGCCTTTAATCTTTTAAAGGAGCCATTGCAAAATACTGGATTCTTGAGAAAAGCTCTGTGCTCCCCATAAAGTCGTAAAATACACATCAATACCCTACACAGTGTGAATTGCTTCACTTTAATGGAGGCTATATTTTCACTTAGATGCTAAAATACTTTCATATAACAATAAAAAGCCATAAATTTCTTATGGAAAGGTTGGAAAAAGGTGTAGTTGGCTGATGATTCATTTCTATCACAAGATATCAAACAATAATGCAGTTCAAGTCTTCTACCTCTGTACATATATAATTTTCTGTGACTTGCACAGACTGAACGCCTTCCAGCTAGGTTCGGTAAGCTACAGTGCATTCCATGAATGCATCTTTTGCAGTCCCTCCAGACAAAATTACAAAAGAGTACTTCCTTTTTCTGCAAGAAGTAACAGAAATATGCACAATGAAAAAAGCTGTCATGATGATAAGTTAATTGAGATTTCAAAGTTTTTTTCATTCCTTTTCCTTTGGACACGTTCCACAAACCACTGACCTTTAAAACTATTTTTTCTTCTTAATTTGTGTACTTAGACAAGACAGATACACCGCACAAAATTTTGCATTTCATAGCTTTGTGTAAGATCTTTCTTCAATATGGTACATGTATTTATTTTGTCTTCCTGTATATGTGTAGAAGATTGCACATGCAAAAAACAGAAAAAGTGAAAGGAGGACATTTAGTTTTACATATATGAAAGCACTTATTAGAAAGGGAGAAGAGTTCCCCTTCTGTTCTAAACATGGAGTTGATCCCCTCTCAAGTCAATAGCTTACTGCTTCTGGACACCAGTCTTAGATGTAGTTAGCTTGCATACTGCTAACATACCAAAGGTATACCCTCAAATCAGGGATCTGTCACTGGCTTAAAAAATTACTTGTAAGAATCCCTGAGAAGAAACAAGTGTGATTTTCAGGTGCGTAGCATTTCCTTTCATTTGTGTCTGGCAGAGGCTGTGTCTCCTAAAACTTTTCTAGCAGCATTTGCATCAATAGAGTCACAGAGAACATATAACATGGCAAAATTAACTTCAAAAATAATCAGAGTCACAATTTTAAATCTTCATTCATTGTTCAACTTAAAAAGGCACTTGTAAAAGATGCACTTTGATTATCTCCCAAATTAACTTGTATCAGTTTAATGAAGGGAAACTTAGCAAAACTTTATGATGTTAATATGCTCGTCTTTTGCCTGTTAATCCTACTATCCTTAATATGCCTATTCTAAGGTACTGTAATTATATCAAGTCTTTTAATGAGCTTTATTTTCCCAACAAGTGGAATGTACACACAATTTCATTCTACAGAACAAAGGAATAACTTTCTATATTGCACATGTAAAGCTTCAAAATCATAATTAAAGGATTGGAAGTGTAGATGGAAATTAAAGTGGAAATTTTTTTAAGTGCAATCCTTTCATTCAGGTCTATTATTTAGTTTCATTTTCCAGAAACATAAGGCAGATATTTAAAAAAAAAAAATCTTACGCTATCATCTTTCTAGTCACTCGTCTCCCTCACAAATGGATCTTTCCAAATCCATTTTCAGCAACACTGCCTTCATTTTTTTTTAAATAGAGTTGAAAATTCTGATCAAAGTTTTCTGTGGTTTTACCAGCATGACTGTGGGAATAGGAACATCAGATTTTTAATACAAATGATTCCTCATTACAAGAGATTAACCATTAAACTGGCCACTGAAAAACATCTAACTACTAATCACCGAAAAAGAAGTCTCAACATCTGTTGCCTGAAATTCACGACTGCTGACATCTTTTTTGCCAGATATAGATGTGGCTTCGATTATGCTTCAAAAGTTACTGAATGTTTCTTTGCAACCCACTTGCAGCCTTCACAGCTAAAGAAAAGCACAGGCTAATGGGACAAGTTCATTCTGATTCCGGGTATATAATCAGGCTTCATTTCATAAAGCAAGTTTGAAATCATCTATACTCTCCTGAAGCCTTTTGGGACCTATGCTCACTTGCAACATAGTAAGAGCAGGTTTAAAAAAATGCAGCAGGAGAAGAAGGGTAGTATAATTGTATAAAAATCTCATTCAGTGTTAAGTGGATTCTGGTTTGACAGCACTTGGGCTTGGGAAATAAATTAAAAAATAAATAAATATTGAAGACCCTGTCAGGCCCGAGTTAGAGATCTCTGCTCATGCTAGAAAGCTGGTCTGGCGCTCCGCACGCAGTGAGAGCTGCAAGTGCAGGCACCGGTAAAATGGAAGAGCAAGTCCCAGATTACCCTGGCAGTATTTAGCGTCAGTAGTGCACAGGTCAGCACCCTCACTTGTTTCTGGCATCCAAGAGAAAGCCTTTTCTTCTCTGCACAAAGCCACCCCTCACTTTAGAAGCTGCTTTTTTTGAAGCTACTGCCATCGCATGAAGAGCACGAGAGCTTCGCTGCTCTGCTATGCGGATTACTGACAAAATGGTGTCACTGATGCTGTGTTATAGGAACATCTTTTGCAAGCAGGGATTAGAAATTCCTATCAGTTTAAAATGCAAGTCTGAAGAAGAAATAGGAGTTACATGAAAGAAATGCGTGAGGGAAACTTCCATTAGATGAGATATAACAGACACTGCTTTTCACGTCCTTTATTGAGGGCTTCTAGCAACAAGCCGTATCTCCTATGGCCATCTCATCTTCATTTCCCAGAAAAAGTAATCCCACTGAATATATGTAACCCTCCAAGATAATGTGCTCCAGTGAGCACATATTCTATGGGAAAGAACTGGGACGTGTCCCATTTCTGCAGAATAGACTTGCAGTGGCTCCACAGTAAGAAAACTTATGGAGGAAGAGGCAAGATTTATAACAGGGCAAGAAGATCAATTTGTAAAGCATTACGATTTTTTTTTTTTTTTCTGGTCTGCCAATCAGCTAAAATATGAAAGCCTTTTTACTTCCTAGAGTACAGGTAACAATTTTCTCGCATATTAAGAATAAAATCCACAGAAATTAAGCTCTCTTTTTGCTTTGTAGAAATAAAATTAAACATGGGACATATGTCTGGTTATAAGGAAATATTTTCCTGCTTGCACCTTGTAAAAGATTTGCAAGGGAAGCAAAGGGGTGGATACATTTACTATCTCTTAAATTTAAAGTACAGTCCACAGCTAAATCAAAGGCCAAATCCAAATCTGTGTGCATTTTTTCAGTAAACAGTAACTACACATGAGTGTGAAGTTGTCTTCCTGTCCAATTTGTTTTCCTTCCTATTTTTACTTTTATCCACTGGGTTTCTTGAGGTTGCAAAGTTTAAATAAGTCTTCCTTTTCCATCACCCAGCTACATTTGATTACTTCTGCATTTG